AGACTCGCTTGAGCCCAGGAGTTGGAGGTTGCTGTGAGCTGTGATGTCATGGCACTCTATCCAGGGGGATAGCTTGAGGCTCTGTCTCAAAAAAAAAATATTTACAATTTGTCAAAGATTATGCTGCAAGGTTATATGCTCCAGTCCCCTTTTTAATCCTACTGTGGCACAGGCCCTCAGCCAAGGCCTCCAAGAATTCCTATAGAGAGGGTAGTTTAGTAACTCACCTCCCTCTTTCAGCCCCCCCTAAAAAACTCTCACTTTGTCTAGGTTGTAGAGGGGATCCCTTCACATCAGGAAGGTAGACCTTCACCTCAGCTGAAGTGGATGACTTCTGATTGGCTGGAACCATTCCTGGTAATCTGATTCTCATTAGCTAGTAATTGGAGGAGGCATGGTCATGTGGCCAACTTCTTGGCAGTAATAAGTAGAAATCATTGAGAATTCTGGAAAACTTTTTCTTTAATTAATTAACTAACTGATAAATTAATCAAGACAGAGTCTTGCTTTGTTGCCTAAGCTGGCATGCAATAGTGTAATCATATCCTTGAACTCCTGGGCTCACGTGATCCTCCCACCTTGGCCTCCCAATGGAGAAGTAATCTTTACAAAATCCACTAGGATTTCTAGTTGGGTATGCTCCTTAGTTATTTTACCACTTATTCTCTTGCTGCTTCTAAGTAGAACTGAAGCTTAGAAGTGTAGCCACCATTGTGTGCCTGTGAAATGACAAGAAAATACTAAGACTGGCAAATCAGATTGAGAGAACCTTGGTGCCATATGACATTAGGCTACAGTCCCATCTTTGAACTGCTTGCCCTCATGTTTTATTGCTTGAGCCAAATAAACTTCTTACTTGGACTGTGTTTCCAGCAATATTAAGGACTATATATCTCCAAATATTACTGCAATAAAATACAGAGGGTGCTGAAAAATGTAGACTCATTTTAAGAAAGGAAAAAAAAACCTATTACATTTGTTAACACACAAGTCATGTTTCACTTCTTCAATTGCAAGAGGTGTTCAACATGATTTGTATCCATCTTTTGTTATTGGTCTATATTGAATATTATAATTTTAATACAATTTTTTCCTTAAAATGTGTATACTTCTTTTGGTACCCTCTGTATCCATGTATAAAATAGCTAGGAGAAATATTTAAAATATCCTTTTAAATGTATAAGTAAGCTTGCAAGAAAGTCAGTATAATTATCTGAGGCTAGGAAGAAAGCAGGAACAGAAACCTAGGCGGTTAGGCAGAGCTGATGTTCAGAAGTTATGCACAGGTACAGTCTACATCAGTTCTGACTGGTTAGCGCATGTGCTATATGACGAATATTTTGAAAATCTTTGGAAATAGGTAAACACTGATATTGCTGCTAACTGTAGAGATATTTACCTGGGTCCAGGATAAGAGCCAAATTACAATATCAGGTTGGGATCCAAGAGGAAATATATCCTCAGGGTAAGGATAACATGGGTTGGGGGATTTGCCTTGGAGAGGTGGGCAGCAAGGTAAGTTGTCTCAATTTGCCTTGGCTCCGAGTGTGATGGCAGCATTCCTCCAGAGGATTTGGGGCCAAAGTCCAGCCATCACATGGCCACACAATTGGTATGCTTCCAAAGTCCACAAGCTGACTATCTTAATTTAAAATGGACCTGAGTAGGTAGTATCTACAGTACCTGGCTAAAGCAAACACACATCCTCTCTGGAAGAACTCATTGTCAACCCAGGTCTCAAAGAATTCCTACAGATAAGGTTCTAAATGAGTTTTAATTCACCATTAGAAACCATATAAAACTCATGAGGAAATAAGCAGAAAAGGCAAGTAGCATCACAACTACTTTAGACACTAGACATTTTAGAACTAGAATATAAAATAAGCATGCTATAAAAAACAAAGAGGGAACTAAAAGCACAAGTGAGCATCAAGATACTCTTGAATATTACCAGGGAACCACATGGAGTTTTAGATATGCCTATTATAAGAGTTTAAATGTATAGCCCATTGGAAGGGTTAAATTTCAGCTGAGATACGGCTGAAGAGAGATTGATTCATGAACTAGAAGATAGATTTGAAGAAAATAAAAGGAAACCCAGAGAGCCAAGTAAATGGAAAAGAATGAAGAATGTCCAGGATTACCTGTCCAGCAGTCAGGTTAACAGGAGACAGTAAAGTGAATGTGGGCAAAACAATTAATTAACGATGGCTGAAATCTTTCCAGAATTAATGAAAGGCAAGAATCCTCAGGAAACATAATTAATCCTAAGCGAGATGAGGAAACAGAAAATCTAGATCCTTTCTGGGAAACTGCAGAGTACTGAAGAATAAGAGAAGTTATGAAAAGCAGATGAAGAGGAAAATCAGATAATCTATAATGGAATGACAACAGTACCAACTCCTGACTTTCCAACAGTAATAATGGGAGGATGATAATAATAGCGTGAAATCATGCCATTAATGAAGCAATAGCGTTAATGTGATGAGAGAATAACTGTTTACTTAGAATTGTATGTTTAGCAATATAATCTTTCAAGAACAAAAACACAATACTTTTCAGATCAACAAAAACTAAGAGTTACTACCAATAGAACTTAATTGAAGGAACCAATCTAGAAGATACATTTCAGGAAGAAATAAAATTATCCCAGGAGCAAGATCTGAGAAAAATAAGGACTGGTGAGCAAATAAAGCCGGGTGCACTGGCTCACGCCTGTAATCCCAGCACTGTGGGAGCCTGAGTCAGGAGAATTGCCTGAGCTCAGGAGTTCAAGACTTGTCTGAACAAGAATAAGACCCTGACTCATGAAAAAAATGAAAAACCCCGCCAGGTGCCACGGCAAGCACCTGTAATCCCAGTAGCTTCAGGAGACTGAGGCAGCAGGCTTTCCATAGTCCGAGTCTGAGGTTGCAATGAGCTATGATGCCATTGCACTCTGCTCAGGCCATAGGGTAGAACTCTGTCTCAACAACATCAAAAAAACAAGGCAACTGGTAAGCAAATAAAATGGAAACATGGGTGAAATCAGGGCAAAACCCAACAATACCAATTTATATTTGTGGAATTAAAAAGGCAAAACCAAAATAATAAAACTATAGTATATAAAATATAAGAGGATTATTGGAGTATTATAGAAGTATGTGTCAATTATCTATTGGATAACAGATGTATTAAACCTCAGAGGCATATTACTATTTCTTTATTGCTCACAGATCTGGAGTCTGCTAGGAGCAGGTTAGGAAGCACTGCTGAGCTTTGCTAGGCTTGCTCATATGTCTGGGGTATCTAGGATGGCCTTGGATGGGGGCCTTGACTTTGCTCCATGTGTCTCTCACTCACCTGCTGGGTAGCCTGGGCAAATTCTCACAGCAATAGCAGAGATGCAAAAGGGAGCTAATATATATGCACAAGCACAAGCACAAGCACATTTTCTATACTCTTCTTATATCTAATGGGCCAGAGCAAGTTACATGGCTGAGTCTAGAGTGATAGTAGGTAGAAGTTATCAAGTTTCATGCCAAAGATTTCCATACGGGAAGTGGTAAAGAAGTGAGGTTATTAATTTAATCAATCCAAGTCCTTCCATTGTCCATAAAACTATTGCTTGATTTTAAACTTTGAATTAAATAGTAAAGTTAAAGCTTTGAGGGTTACAATTAAAAGAAATAAAGTTCCAGACTAAACCAGCAGAAGAAAAGTTGCATAATTTTTTAAAAAGAAGGAAAGACCAGAAAGAAAGAAAATAATGACAGAAACAAGAGAACATAAAAGGTGGGGAAAAAACAAAGCACAAAACAGAAAAACGAACTTAAATGTTTTAGTAATCACAATAAATATATATATTTAAAACACTAAATTTCTCTTTTCAAAAGACAGGTAGTAACATGAGATTTTTTTTTTGAGACAGAGCCTCAAGCTGTCCCCCTAGGTAGAGTGCCATGGCATCACGCTCACAGCAACCTCCAACTCCTGGGC